TCTTTGGAGGCGGTGGAGGTGCTGAGATCTTTGGAGGCGGTGGAGGTGCTGAGACCTTTGGAGGCGGTGGAGGTGCTGAGATCTTTGGAATTGGCGGAGGTGCTGAGATCTTTGGAGGCGGTGGAGGTGCTGAGATCTTTGGAGGCGGTGGAGGTGCTGAGACCTTTGGAGGCGGTGGAGGTGCTGAGATCTTTGGAATTGGTGGAGGTGCTGAGATCTTTGGAGGCGGTGGAGGTGCTGAGACCTTTGGGGCGGTGGAGGTGCTGAGATCTTTGGAGGCGGTGGAGGTGCTGAGACCTTTGGGGCGGTGGAGGTGCTGAGATCTTTGGAGGCGGTGGAGGTACTGAGATCTTTGGGGGCGGTGGAGGTGCTGAGACCTTTGGAGGCGGTGGAGGTACTGAGATCTTTGGAGGCGATGGAGGTGCTGAGATCTTTGGAGGCGGTGGAGGTGCTGAGATCTTTGGAGGCGGTGGAGGTGCTGAGACCTTTGGAGGCGGTGGAGGTGCTGAGATCTTTGGAGGCGGTGGAGGTGCTGAGACCTTTGGGGCGGTGGAGGTGCTGAGACCTTTGGAGGCGGTGGAGGTACTGAGATCTTTGGAGGCAGTGGAGGTGCTGAGACCTTTGGAGGCGGTGGAGGTGCTGAGATCTTTGGAGGCGGTGGAGGTGCTGAGACCTTTGGAGGCGGTGGAGGTACTGAGATCTTTGGAGGCGGTGGAGGTGCTGAGACCTTTGGAGGCGGTGGAGGTGCTGAGATCTTTGGAATTGGTGGAGGTGCTGAGATCTTTGGAGGCGGTGGAGGTGCTGAGACCTTTGGGGCGGTGGAGGTGCTGAGATCTTTGGAGGCGGTGGAGGTGCTGAGACCTTTGGGGCGGTGGTTGTGCTGAGATCTTTGGAGGCGGTGGAGGTGCTGAGATCTTTGGAGGCGGTTGAGGTACTGAGATCTTTGGGGGCGGTGGAGGTTCTGAGATCTTTGGAGGCGGTGGAGGTACTGAGACCTTTGGGGGCGGTGGAGGTGCTGAGATCTTTGGAGGCGGTGGAGGTGCTGAGACCTTTGGGGGCGGTGGAGGTGCTGAGATCTTTTGGGCGGTGGAGGTGCTGAGATCTTTGGGGGCGGTGGAGGTGCTGAGATCTTTGGAGGCGGTGGAGGTGCTGAGACCTTTGGGCGGTGGAGGTGCTGAGATCTTTGGAGGCAGTGGAGGTGCTGAGACCTTTGGAGGCGGTGGAGGTGCTGAGATCTTTGGAGGCGGTGGAGGTGCTGAGATCTTTGGAGGCGGTGGAGGTGCTGAGACCTTTGGAGGCGGTGGAGGTGCTGAGATCTTTGGAATTGGTGGAGGTGCTGAGATCTTTGGAGGCAGTGGAGGTGCTGAGACCTTTGGAGGCGGTGGAGGTGCTGAGATCTTTGGAGGCGGTGGAGGTGCTGAGATCTTTGGAGGCGGTGGAGGTGCTGAGACTTTTGGAGGCGGTGGAGGTGCTGAGATCTTTGGAATTGGTGGAGGTGCTGAGATCTTTGGAGGCGGTGGAGGTGCTGAGACCTTTGGGGCGGTGGAGGTGCTGAGATCTTTGGAGGCGTTGGAGGTGCTGAGACCTTTGGGGGCGGTGGAGGTGCTGAGATCTTTGGAGGCGGTGGAGGTACTGAGATCTTTGGGGGCGGTGGAGGTGCTGAGATCTTTGGAGGCGGTGGAGGTGCTGAGACCTTTGGGGGCGGTGGAGGTGCTGAGATCTTTTGGGCGGTGGAGGTGCTGAGATCTTTGGAGGCGGTGGAGGTGCTGAGATCTTTGGAGGCGGTGGAGGTGCTGAGACCTTTGGGCGGTGGAGGTGCTAAGACCTTTGGAGGCGGTGGAGGTACTGAGATCTTTGGAGGCAGTGGAGGTGCTGAGACCTTTAGAGGCGGTGGAGGTGCTGAGATCTTTGGAGGCGGTGGAGGTGCTGAGATCTTTGGAGGCGGTGGAGGTGCTGAGACCTTTGGAGGCGGTGGAGGTGCTGAGATCTTTGGAATTGGCGGAGGTGCTGAGATCTTTGGAGGCGGTGGAGGTGCTGAGACCTTTGGGGCGGTGGAGGTGCTGAGATCTTTGGAGGCGGTGGAGGTGCTGAGACCTTTGGAGGCGGTGGAGGTGCTGAGATCTTTGGAATTGGTGGAGGTGCTGAGATCTTTGGAGGCGGTGGAGGTGCTGAGACCTTTGGGGCGGTGGAGGTGCTGAGATCTTTGGAGGCGGTGGAGGTGCTGAGACCTTTGGGGCGGTGGAGGTGCTGAGATCTTTGGAGGCGGTGGAGGTGCTGAGATCTTTGGAGGCGGTGGAGGTACTGAGATCTTTGGGGGCGGTGGAGGTGCTGAGATCTTTGGAGGCGGTGGAGGTGCTGAGATCTGTGGCGGTACTGAGACCTTTGGGGCGGTGGAGGTGCTGAGATCTTTGGAGGCGGTGGAGGTGCTGAAACCTTTGGGGCAGTGGAGGTGCTGAGATCTTTGGGGGCGGTGGAGGTGCTGAGATCTTTGGAGGCGGTGGAGGTACTGAGATCTTTGGGGGCGGTGGAGGTGCTGAGATCTTTGGAGGCGGTGGAGGTGCTGCACGGTGGCTGAGTGGATAGCACTCTCGCCTTTCAGCAAGAAGGTCCTGGGTTCGAATCCCGGTTGGACCAGGGCCTTTCTGAGTGGAGTTTGCATGTTCTCCCCGTGTCTGCGTAGGTTTCCTCCGGGTGCTCCGGTTTCCCCTACCACTAAAAATATGTACAATAGGTATGGCATGTGCCTCCTGTACTGGCACCCCCACCCAACAATTGTAAACCGCTTTGAGACTCCGATGTGCAGTGAAAAGGAGGTATATAAATAAAAGCTTACTTACTAAAAAAGCTTACTTACTGAGACCTTTGGGGGCGGTGGAGGTGCTGAGATCTTTTGGGCGGTGGAGGTGCTGAGATCTTTGGCGGCGGTGGAGGTACTGAGATCTTTGGGGGCGGTGGAGGTGCTGAGATCTTTGGAGGCGGTGGAGGTGCTGAGACCTTTTGGGGGGTGGAGGTGCTGAGATCTTTTGGGCGGTGGAGGTACTGAGATCTTTGGGGGCGGAGGAGGTGCTGAGACCTTTGGAGGCGGTGGAGGTACTGAGATCTTTGGAGGCGGTGGAGGTGCTGAGATCTTTGGAGGCGGTGGAGGTGCTGAGATCTTTGGAGGCGGTGGAGGTGCTGAGACCTTTGGAGGCGGTGGAGGTGCTGAGATCTTTGGAGGCGGTGGAGGTGCTGAGACCTTTGGGGCGGTGGAGGTGCTGAGACCTTTGGAGGCGGTGGAGGTACTGAGATCTTTGGAGGCAGTGGAGGTGCTGAGACCTTTGGAGGCGGTGGAGGTGCTGAGATCTTTGGAGGCGGTGGAGGTGCTGAGACCTTTGGAGGCTGTGGAGGTACTGAGATCTTTGGAGGCGGTGGAGGTGCTGAGACCTTTGGAGGCGGTGGAGGTGCTGAGATCTTTGGAATTGGTGGAGGTGCTGAGATCTTTGGAGGCGGTGGAGGTGCTGAGACCTTTGGGGCGGTGGAGGTGCTGAGATCTTTGGAGGCGGTGGAGGTGCTGAGACCTTTGGGGCGGTGGAGGTGCTGAGATCTTTGGAGGCGGTGGAGGTGCTGAGATCTTTGGAGGCGGTTGAGGTACTGAGATCTTTGGGGGCGGTGGAGGTTCTGAGATCTTTGGAGGCGGTGGAGGTGCTGAGATCTGTGGCGGTACTGAGACCTTTGGGGCGGTGGAGGTGCTGAGATCTTTGGAGGCGGTGGAGGTGCTGAGATCTTTGGAGGCGGTGGAGGTACTGAGACCTTTGGGGGCGGTGGAGGTGCTGAGATCTTTGGAGGCGGTGGAGGTACAGAGATCTTTGGAGGCGGTGGAGGTGCTGAGACCTTTGGAGGCGGTGGAGGTGCTGAGATCTTTGGAATTGGTGGAGGTGCTGAGATCTTTGGGGGCGGTGGAGGTGCTGAGACTTTTGGAGGCAGTGGAGGTGCTGAGATCTTTGTGGGCGGTGGAGGTGCTGAGACCTTTGGGGGCGGTAGAGGTGCTGAGATCTTTGGAGGCAGTGGAGGTGCTGAGATCTTTGTGGGCGGTGGAGGTGCTGAGACCTTTGGGGGCGGTAGAGGTGCTGAGATCTTTGGAGGCGGTGGAGGTGCTGAGATCTTTGGGGTGGTGGAGGTGGTGAGACCTTTGGGGGCGGTAGAGGTGCTGAGATCTTTGGAGGCGGTGGAGGTGCTGAGATCTTTGGGGGCGGTGGAGGTGCTGAGACCTTTGGAGGCGGTGGAGGTGCTGAGACCTTTGGGGGCGGTGGAGGTGCTGAGACCTTTGGAGGCGGTGGAGGTGCTGAAACCTTTGGGGCGGTGGAGGTGCTGAGACCTTTGGGGGCGGTGGAGGTGCTGAGATCTTTGGAGGCGGTGGAGGTGCTGAGATCTTTGGAGGCGGTGGAGGTGCTGAGACCTTTGGGGGCGGTGGAGGTGCTGAGATCTTTGGGGGCGGTGGAGGTGCTGAGACCTTTGGGGGCGGTGGAGTCGGTCGTGCCGGTGCTGGAGAAACTGGACACTCTGGAAGCAGGAAATAGTCAGCTCTAATAGACTTATTTAGCGTCTGCAGCTCGTTTGAAAAGAGGAGAGCCATTTTAAAGACACTTCTTTGAAGAGGAGCTCTGAACTGCGGTAATTACATCTTCAAGATAAATTATAATATTTAATAAATGTGTTTTTTTGTGAGCATGTGTATCAAGGGGCCACATAACATGACTCAGAGGGCCGCCGCTGGCCCACGGGCTCGAGTTTGGACAGGGCTGTTGTACATAAACACATGTACATCTCAAGCTCTTGCCATGTACAGAAAACTGTATTCCTGCTCCTGTTCCTTAGACACAGCCAGACTTTTGGGCTCGGCTTGTTTCAAATCCTCAAAGAATCTCTTCATCTCAGCGTTATTCTCTTTCCAGCACATTTCAGCAGAACCTCCATCGTCTCTGTCATTCACTGACTGGTTTGGCGTGAGCACAGCTGACGTGTCAAAGCTGTAGATCGGGTTTCCATCTTTTGTCTCGGAGGAGTCTGACCCAGGACCCGGTCAACAGGACGGTGCGTGTGATTGACAGCTTCTTCAAGATGCCTTCTACTTGCTCTAGGTCGTAACGCACTTCGTAATCTACGTCTTCAGACACGGACGATTGGACCGAGCAAACAGCGTGGATGTGCGAGAAGGGTTTGCGCAAGAAAAACAACCCAATGATTTCATAAAACAGTGAAGAAAAACGAAAGCTTAATGTTTTTGAGGCTGGAAGAGGGATGATGGAGAGAGAGTAGTCCACCTCCAATCCTTCCTGTGGGTTTATTTCGAACACCTTAACATCGGTCTCATGGTTGGTGAGTTTGAAGCGGTGGATGTCATTCCATTTGACACCGCAAATGTAGTTCATCATGGTGTTGATGACGTCTTCACAACCAGAGGCTCCGTACAGCAGAACAATCTTGTTGTCCCTGTTTTCCCCGTATTTAAAGATATATGTTTCTCTCACACTGTTAACCCGAAAGTTAATTGCACTCGAATGGTTTCAGCTCTAACTACTGATGGTAAATAATTTTCTCTGTAAAACTCAAATCATACAAGTGTGGCAGAGAGAACTCTTTGGTTGAAGTTGAATGGACTTAACATACAGTGCCTTGAACCTTTCAACATTTCGCCACATTTCAGGCTTCAAACATAGAGATATAACATTTTAATTTTTTGTCATGAATCAACAACAAGTGGGACACATTCGTGAAGTGGAATGAAATTTGTTGGATAATTTAAACTTTTTTAACAAATAAAAAACTGAAAAGTGGGGCGTGCAATATTATTCGGCCCCTTTACTTTCAGTGCAGCAAACTCACTTCAAACTCAGTTCAGTGAGGATCTTTGAATGATCCAATGTTGTCCTAAATGACTGATGATGATAAATAGAATGCACTTGTGTGTAATCAAGTCTCTGTATAAATGCACCTGCTCTTTGATAGTCTCAGGGTTCTGTTTAAAGCGCAGAGAGAACCATGAAGACAAAGGAACACACCAGGCAGGTCCGAGATACTGTTGTGGAGAAGTTCAAAGCCGGATTTGGATACAAAAAGATTTCCCAAGCTTTAAACATCTCAAGGAGCACTGTGCAAGCAATTATATTGAAATGGAAGGAGTATCAGACCACTGCAAATCTACCAAGACCCGGCCGTCCCTCCAAACTTTCATCTCAAACAAGGAGAAGACTGATCAGAGATGCAGCCAAGAGGCCCGTGATCACTCTGGATGAACTGCAGACTATCAAAGAGCAGGTGCATTTATACGGAGACTTGATTACACACAGGTGCATTCTATTTATCATCATCAGTCATTTAGGACAACATTGGATCATTCAAAGATCCTCACTGAACTTCTGGAGTGAGTTTGCTGCACTGAAAGTAAAGGGGCCGAATAATATTGCACGCCCCACTTTTCAGTTTTTTTTTTTTTTTTTTTAAGTTTAAATTATCCAATAAATTTCGTTCCACTTCACGATTGTGTCCCACACAAAAAAATTAAATTTTATATCTTTATGTTTGAAGACTGAAATGTGGCAAAATGTTGAAAGGTTCAAGGGGGCCGAATACTTTCGCAAGGCACTGTATATAGTGTTGCAGGGGCGTAGCTAGCCCCTTTTTAGGGGTGCTCAAGCACCCCTAAAAATATGTCAAGCACCCCTAAAATTATAGAACAAAAAATATATAAAAATTAACAATATAAAAAAAAAATAACGGATTTTTAAAACGCATCAAGGTTATTAATAAATACTGTTATTGTTTCATAAAATTCGTTGTTACCATCTATTTAAAAATGTCTGGAGTCATTCCATTTCATGCAAAGAACGCACCGCGAAGAGAAAAAAAAGACGCTGGCCTCATCTCTGTGTCTGTTTGTGTGTGTCTGTCTGTGTCTGTCTGTGTGTGTCTGTCTGTGTCTGTGTGGGTCTGTGTCTGTCTGTGTCTGTCTGTGTCTGTCTGTCTGTCTGTGTCTGTCTGTCTGTGTGGGTCTGTGTCTGTCTGTGTCTGTCTGTCTGTCTGTGTCTGTCTGTCTGTGTGGGTCTGTGTCTGTCTGTCTGTGTCTGTCTGTGTCTGTCTGTCTGTGTCTGTGTCTGTGTCTGTGTCTGTCTGTGTCTGTCTGTCTGTGTCTGTCTGTCTGTATCTGTGTCTGTGTGGGTCTGTGTCTGTGTCTGTCTGTCTGTGTCTGTGTGTGTCTGTCTGTGTGTGTCTGTGTGTGTCTGTCTGTGTCTGTCTGTGTCTGTCTGTCTGTGTGTGTCTGTCTGTCTGTGTCTGTGTGGGTCTGTGTCTGTGTCTGTCTGTGTCTGTCTGTCTGTGTCTGTCTGTCTGTGTCTGTCTGTCTGTGTCTGTGTCTGTCTGTCTGTGTCTGTCTGTGTGTGTCTGTCTGTCTGTGTCTGTGTGGGTCTGTGTCTGTGTCTGTCTGTGTCTGTCTGTCTGTGTCTGTCTGTGTCTGTCTGTCTGTGTCTGTGTGGGTCTGTGTCTGTGTCTGTCTGTGTGGGTCTGTGTCTGTCTGTGTCTGTCTGTCTGTGTCTGTCTGTCTGTGTCTGTCTGTGTCTGTGTCTGTCTGTGTCTGTGTGGGTCTGTCTGTCTGTGTCTGTGTGGGTCTGTGTCTGTCTGTCTGTCTGTGTCTGTCTGTCTGTGTGGGTCTGTGTCTGTCTGTCTGTGTCTGTCTGTCTGTCTGTATCTGTGTCTGTGTGGGTCTGTGTCTGTCTGTCTGTGTGTGTCTGTCTGTGTGTGTCTGTGTGTGTCTGTTTGTGTGTGTCTGTCTGTGTCTGTCTGTCTGTGTGTGTCTGTCTGTCTGTGTCTGTGTGGGTCTGTGTCTGTCTGTGTCTGTCTGTCTGTCTGTCTGTGTCTGTGTGGGTCTGTGTCTGTCTGTCTGTCTGTGTCTGTCTGTCTGTGTCTGTCTGTGTCTGTCTGTGTCTGTCTGTGTCTGTCTGTGTCTGTCTGTCTGTGTCTGTGTGGGTCTGTGTCTGTCTATGTCTGTCTGTGTCTGTCTGTCTGTCTGTGTCTGTCTGTCTGTGTGGGTCTGTGTCTGTCTGTGTCTGTCTGTCTGTCTGTGTCTGTCTGTCTGTGTGGGTCTGTGTCTGTCTGTCTGTGTCTGTCTGTGTCTGTCTGTCTGTGTCTGTGTCTGTGTCTGTCTGTGTCTGTCTGTCTGTGTCTGTCTGTCTGTATCTGTGTCTGTGTGGGTCTGTGTCTGTGTCTGTCTGTCTGTGTCTGTGTGTGTCTGTCTGTGTGTGTCTGTGTGTGTCTGTCTGTGTCTGTCTGTGTCTGTCTGTCTGTGTCTGTGTGGGTCTGTGTCTGTGTCTGTCTGTCTGTGTCTGTCTGTCTGTGTCTGTCTGTGTCTGTCTGTCTGTGTCTGTGTCTGTCTGTCTGTGTCTGTGTCTGTCTGTGTGTGTCTGTCTGTCTGTGTCTGTGTGGGTCTGTGTCTGTGTCTGTCTGTGTCTGTCTGTCTGTGTCTGTCTGTCTGTGTCTGTCTGTGTCTGTCTGTCTGTGTCTGTGTGGGTCTGTGTCTGTGTCTGTCTGTGTGGGTCTGTGTCTGTCTGTGTCTGTCTGTCTGTGTCTGTCTGTCTGTGTCTGTCTGTGTCTGTGTCTGTCTGTGTCTGTGTGGGTCTGTCTGTCTGTGTCTGTGTGGGTCTGTGTCTGTCTGTCTGTCTGTGTCTGTCTGTCTGTGTGGGTCTGTGTCTGTCTGTCTGTGTCTGTCTGTCTGTGTCTGTCTGTCTGTCTGTATCTGTGTCTGTGTGGGTCTGTGTCTGTCTGTCTGTGTGTGTCTGTCTGTGTGTGTCTGTGTGTGTCTGTTTGTGTCTGTCTGTCTGTGTCTGTCTGTCTGTGTGTGTCTGTCTGTCTGTGTCTGTGTGGGTCTGTGTCTGTCTGTGTCTGTCTGTCTGTCTGTCTGTGTCTGTGTGGGTCTGTGTCTGTCTGTGTCTGTCTGTCTGTCTGTCTGTGTCTGTGTGGGTCTGTGTCTGTCTGTCTGTCTGTGTCTGTCTGTCTGTGTCTGTCTGTGTCTGTCTGTGTCTGTCTGTGTCTGTCTGTCTGTGTCTGTCTGTGTCTGTCTGTCTGTGTCTGTCTGTGTCTGTCTGTCTGTCTGTGTCTGTTTGTCTGTGTCTGTCTGTCTGTGTCTGTCTGTGTCTGTCTGTCTGTGTCTGTTTGTCTGTGTCTGTCTGTGCTGAGACTGAGCTACAGCGGTTGGTAATTCATTTTCTATCCCATCTTTTCCCATAAACTCTGTGAGAACAGGTCTGCTGCTGACGCTGTATTAAACACCTGTGCTCCGTGTGCGGCTCCGAGCGTCTGTGGCAGATCTAACACGGACAAGTCCGCCCTAAAGTTCTCTTGAATTGAGTCATTTGGCGTCACATTTACTTATCTCCTGCTTGTCACACACAGTTCATGTTTTATATGGTATAGATTATGAAGCCCTAAAGCCCTTAGCTTTTGTTGTATATTTTAATATTTGACCATTTGAACATCATAGCCAAAAAGACCTCTGTGCACTCAGGAAAAACCCCAAGGACACAGGATGATCAGACATGAGTCATAAAGATAAAATGCTGTTTAAACAGGGCGAATTATTAACTTTAAATAATAAACATTTTGACGAGGGCAAAAGTCCAGAACCTGATCTTGAGGCAGACTGGGAGATTCTTGCCTGGCCTGCCAAACGATATGCTTTTTCAAAGACATATAGTCTGGGAACGAGCTTGATCTCAGCGAATTCCCGGTGGGCGTGGTTGACAAACTGCATCAACCAATTAGATGCACACAGGATATGACGCAGCAACTAGCGGCACCCAAGCCGTTTCAGTAAACACAAAACACGGGATGGCGGCATGTCAGCTAGTGCAAATGTAAACGACTGCTGTCGATTTTGTAACAAAAACTTAAAGATACGAGGAGTTATTAGCAACTCAAAGGTGAAAGGAAGTCCCGCCTCTCGGTGCGTGATTGGACCGATGTGGGTAAAATCGTGAAATGATAGGCTAGGAAGAGGTGTCCAGACGGTTCTTCTTTTGAACAGAAAGGAGGAGTGTCTGGCAGGCCAGGCAAGGGAGATTCACCAACGGCATTCTGACGCCTCCCAGTGGACAAGGGACGTCAGCACACCCGGAAAACTCCACCCTTGGACGCATATGGATGACGTCATCGGAAGTCTCCCGTATATGTGCCCTCTGAGGGTTTTTTGAGGTCAGACAGGACAGGGGCAACGCACAGGGAGAGAGCAGGCATAGAATAGGAGCACTTTTGTTGAATATTCTGTATTTGATTGTAAAGATAATTAAATGCAGATGTTAAACTTGGAGAATTGTGGACACGTCAGCCAAAGGGAATTATTGGCTACATTTGGTGACCCGAGACGTGATTTGATACAGAAAGAAGA